GCATAAGCCAAATGGTTTACCACTTGGTTATTTGTGAGAACACCATCCCAAGTTGAAAGTTCGGTGATCCTTCTTCCCCATTCCCCTTTAAAATGATAGGTTTGATTATAATTTGTTAATATATATATATATATATATATATTAAGAAAGGTTATAAGACAAAAACTCAATTAGCTTCATTTTTAATATCAATACTAACTGAATAATTTTAATTAAACAGTTGATAAATTAAACTTAACTTTTACTCTCTTTTTTTTTATAATAATTAATAAGAAAACTGTACAATTAATACATTTTTAACCAAATTCCTTATTTTTTATCCAAAGATTAATCATACCTGATAAAAGTACGAGGTCATTAAGATTAAGACCTTTCCTGTTGAATAATTGTAAAAGAGTGTTGAAGTCTGAGAACGGGGAAGGAATGTTTCCAGGGATGTCTGATGCGAGGGAGATTCTGCCATCTCTTCTTCCGGTGGGCACCTCCCACAATGGCCTATTAAACTGTAGGTAAAAGTGGAAATAAACATCATTTTTAGCTCATCAAAATGATAATTTCATGGAAATTATCCTTTAACCTGCTTAACTTACCGAAAAAGAAACAGAATCGCGAGCAGCTAAGGCAAGAATATCAGCGCAAGAAACAGTACTAGGACAAACTTGCTCAATCTGGGTCTTGATATCATCAATCACATCGAAACCAGATAAGCTTAGATTTGGCACTGCATCCTTCTCTGCTTGTGTGTTGTTTACTGCATCTAATAGTATAGATGCGTCGCAGCCCTTGAAGAAAAATAAAAGTTCATCAGTCATATGATAATCATTATATATATATATATATATATATATCTAATTACATGTAATATTAATGTATGCATGAGTAAAATATATATACCCTAACAAAGCAATCATGGAAATGCATTCTCAGCAACTTTGCAGGTAAAGCAGGATTAGATGGGATTCTGCTCTTTATAATGTTGTTCACAATCTGCTCGGCTTCAGGACAACTTTCTTCGTAGAAGTTCATCTTCAACACTTGTGCGTTACACACCCATGCAGCTATGCAAAATGCAGAGAGAGGAACAAAGAGCATGAAAATGCTATTGCTATGTCTCATTTTGTTCTAACAATTGGGAATGAAAAGGAGGAGAAAGAAGAAAGAAGCTCAAATTTAAGTTAAGCTGGGTAGGTAGGTTGTGAGATGAAAGGTGAAGAGGAGGGTTTGGGGGTTTTATAGAGGGAGGAAGTAAAATTGTGTAAGAAACAAAGGCAATTTTTTAGTGATGAAAAGAATATCAAAAATCACTTTCAAATAATTCTGTCAAAGCAGACAGACCCGTTTGTTTATTTTCTCCAAGTCCCAACTATGCCTGTTTCACGAATCTTCTATCTAAATAAACAAAAATTTTAAAATCCTTCCTAGACATGAATCTGGACCGGCTGGAATGCACCACTTCAATTTGACCTCATTTTTAGAAATTAATTAATTCTGTTTGAATTGATCAACCTTGAAATATGTCATATATAATTTACCTCTTTGTATATAAAAAAAAAAAATAGAGCCTTAATAATTCGTAATTGTCAATGCTGCCACAAGGATATATAAAATGATTGAAGGCGGTGGTACGGCTTCTCTGGTGATTAGCTGGAGATAGGGATTTTAAACTCGGCTTTTGAAGGTCGAAGTTGAATAAAATTAATTAATTGTTTGTCACTTGTTCTTATCCTAATTAGAATGGTTCTTAGTTAGTTATTGTTTAATTGTTGGACAGAGTCGTCTGAATACAATGATCAGGTAACATGAGAAGGAATTTTACGCGTTAAAGGAAGAAGAAAGTAAGGTTAGCATTTTTAATGAATAACGATATAGTTAGAATTAATTTTTGGGACCAAAAATTTAAAATGGATTTATGATAGTCATTTAATCATAGTGTGAGCCACTTGTGAACCTACATGATTAATAATTAAAATAAAAATTATGATATTTTGTTTTAATTTTTTTATTAAAAAAAATACACAAAAAAACTTACAATTATAGTCATAACACATCATTCTCAAACAAAAAAGGTTTTAGAAATTAGGTTAAAAATATAAAGAAACCTACAATTACAGCCACAACAAAAAAATCTCAAACAAAAACCCAAGTTTTTATTAATAAGAGTTTGGTTGAGTTAAAAAATATTAATTTAAAAACTTTGATTTGAGATGAGATTAGAGGTTCAAACTTTAAATCTTTATGTTAACAAACAATTAATCATCTAATGTAAAAAAAATAAAATTTTTTGAAAAAAAAAAAAAAAAACCTAAGTTTTTAAAACTGGTTTATAAAACTCTTTAAATGCTAATAAACAACCATCCTTTCTAAAAAATTTTAAAACTAAAAAGAAAAATGGAAAAAAAAAAAAAACTCTTGTAAGCAAGCAAGCAAAAAAAAAGAGTACAACATCTCTTGTTACTTTGCTCCTCATCAAGGTCCAAATTATTTTTAATTGTAAAAAGAACAATAGTAATATAATAATTGTTATAGATTGTTCGCCAATAATATATATTTTTCTATCCAATCCTAACTCCTATATCTTTTTCTTTAAAACCTAAGCCTCCTCAAATGGGTTGTTTTAACTAATAAAAGTTAAAATTTTAAATTAAAAATTGTAAAACATGAACTTTGAACGGTGAAAAATGAATTAAAAAAAATATTTTTTATTATATATTTATCTCATTATATCAAATACATTAAAAGCTTCTTAAAAACAAATATTATTGTCACATTACTAATTCATTAAAAATTCTAACCAAGGGTGATCATTAAAAAAAGAAAAAACAATTATAACTAAGAGGCTTGTTATCTAAAATACATATACAACTTTTTCTCTTTGTTTTTTTTCCCTTTTTCTTTTTTGTGAAATACAAATTTTTCTTTTTATTATATATACATCAATCTATTATGATATTGCTGATCTTATCTATCTGAAAAGTAATTATATATATATAAAAAAAAGAGAGCAATAATGAAAAAGAAAGCACACACACGCATGAAAGAAATTTAACTCAAGGGTACCCAACAGCCATGCAAGTTTCCCAGAAGAGCCTGTCTTCCATACCATCCATCACCTCTCTACTCCGCCCATTAACATCAAACGTGGCTCCCTCTTCTCCCTGCTCTGCTGCATCTATACACCACATCTTGCAGCTCCTCCAACTCGGCTCATCACGACTGTTGAGTTCTTGGTGATAATCAACCCACTCAACAGCTTCCTGATCAAAATCATCAACCATCTGAATCTCCCTGACGTTATAGCAGCAAGATTCAGCATCATCACCTTCATCACCATCATCACCATCTTCATCCCCGGCTATAACAGGTTCATAATCTGCCTCAGAGTCCCCACTATCTTCCACAAGAAGGAAACAAGATACGTCCACAAATCCATTCTTGTTCTCCATTTTGATGTGCTACCCTGCAATAGTCAGTAAACTGTTGCATGAGAAATTCCCAGTTTTGTGAGATGAGTTAAGCTGTTTCTATAATCCTTATTTATAGTTTGTAAATTTGTCGTTGTCAATCAAATAAGTTGATGACTTTTGACTACACCCATTTTTTACCTTTCAAGCTTGAAAGGTGTTAGGTTCTTCTTGCTTAGAATCACATTTTATTGGTGGGTTTGATGTCATCCATCCATTTATCTTTCTAAGTCGGTCACTTTCCTTTCGAGACACAGAAAGAGGAGATCAAGAGATGAAGGTCAAGCATCAAGATTAATTACCTCCTTTTGACAAACATCAACTATCGGTATGAAGTGGGATCCACATTCTTAGAAAATGTTTCCATCTCATCCTGTTCAAGAAAGAAAGAATAATTTGTTCAGGACATGAAAACCCACTACATTTGGGATTTAATTGATGCAAACATAGTCCCTCTTAGATGGGTTCAACAAGCAATAATTAAAGATAAAGATATTGGATGACTATGTCCATAAATTAAAGATAAAACTAAAGTGGTGGCTGCCTGGGTTTAACTCATTTTTCAACCACAAAAAAAAAAAAAGGAGGAAATTCTAGAATCTAATAATGTGAGCAACAAGGAACATGGGCTGTGATGAAGGGATGACTCAACTCTGGCGCCTTAATTACCATCACAATCACTCCTTTAGCGACCCCTTCACGGCTCCAAGGTCACCAACTTTCTAGTGTGGTCAGATTCTTGTGAAAATTGATCCAATCAAGAATAGCTAGCAATAACTTCTAATTGAATAACAATGCTTTTACACTGATATTCCAACTCCCAGGCCCCACTCCCAAGGGAAAAGAAAGAAACCAGGCATTTTGACCACTAAAGTACTTTTGGAAGCTTTCATGCTTCCACAGGACTCAGCAATCAGCTCCTCTTTCATTGGCACTTCAGCTGGTTGTCCCTGGCTAGATACAAAGCCACCTAACCTGAAAAGAAATCCATGACTAATAGAGAAAGAAAAAGATCATGTCAGTTGGATCCTGGAGGATCCTGGATGTGAGAATTAGAGATCAAAGAAACAAGTCTTCTAGAAAGGATTACCTCATATATAACCGACAATAGTGAACAATCTGTTCAAACTTCAAAGTATACAAATTTGCGTACCAGATAGAACAATTTCTCTATGTAAAGCCAAAAATCAGTCAAATGATATCAATCATCCAACTTCTATTCAACTTTGTTCTCATATCGAAATTTAAAAATAAACTCGAGTAAAGAAGGGAGTGAAATCGTCTAATGACCAGATGCCAATCCGAAAACCAGAGTGTAGCAACTAGCAAGCTCCGTCTTCTCTACCCTCATCTATTTAATCAATGTAGTCGACCATTCACCATTGACCATGATCCCTTGAAGAAATAAGGCCATGTTTAGGCTGGAAGTACAATATTTCAAATTTCAAAGCCCAATATTCATTGATGGGTTGCAAATACATATAAGTTTGCAAATTTCAAGTTTATGTCTAAAATCAATCAGAAAGCGAACAGAAATGAGCTGGCTTCATTTCTACTGCTTTGATCATGCCTGGTTTGATAATATTTGGCTATGAATTATACTAGCTTTTATGTCTAGTTTGTGGACAATGATTGATGCAATTTTTAATCCAACATACTTAACAATATCTACCTGTTCAATAATTAAGAAATTAATATTTTTAAATTTGAATTTAAGACGAAAAAATTTTCGAAAGCAAATTTTAATAAGTGAATTGATAGGTGTTATTAAATGTTTTGAATTGGATGGTGTACCAATCATTTTCCTTAATTTGTCATCCTTTATTTCTTGGCAATATCTCTGCATTCTTCTTGAGGATAGTTAGAGGAGTTGAGATGTTTCGGTGTGTTATCTCATCTATATTTAGACTTCTCTATATTGTACTGTGATATTTAATTAATAAAAGGAATGACCAATCAAAAAGGTCCCCTCTGCGTACATTCCATAAAACTTCTCTCGTATTCCGGAAATGAGGAAAATACAACTAACCAGAATACAAATTAAGCCATTGAGACAATCTCAAGATGTTAAAATACAAAACCTCACATGTTGGAAACGAACGCTGCATTGCTAACTAGGAAGATGTTTAGTGCCAGTATATCTCATGATGATCTTCTTTGGAAATAAATTATCTTCTTCCTTATACAAGGAGTCAAAAGAAACATTTCAGTGCTTTTACATTTAAAAGTTGGAGATAAAGTCATTATTCTACGTATAAGTAGTCATTTAGCGAATAGCCGCAACTCAAGGATGGGAATCACTGCCCAGAGATAGTATAGGGTGAATCTTTCAAAATGAAACTGGAACATGAGAAATCTTATTTCATGTTTTTCTTTTATAACAATGGATCGAATATAAGAGAACTTTAGCAGTAATCATTTAAAATCAAAAGTGAATGCAGCTTAATAATCAGCAACAGTCCACCCTATTTGCCTAGTATCAGTCCATGTATAGTTATATACAATGAAAATATGTGAAAAAATAAACACAAACTCAAAACAATGCAACTTTAGGGGCAATGGAGTCACCAAACTTTTTACTGTTAATGACTAGTACAAAAATGAGGCCGACACACCAGCCGACAAAGCTCTTCTGCAAAGACATATTCCAAAATTTGGCCCTTCAATTAATAAAATGACCAATGAGGAAGGCAATAGATGGTTTTTGATCAAACTAACAAATCAAGACTCTTGAGCATCAAAAACTCAAACAGACAAGATGGCCTTTGATGAGAGAAAAACATTGTTCTAAAGAACAAATTTCAGAGCCCAAAAGTGAATCATTCAGCAAGAAACAAACCTCATGGTAAGAAAGAAAAAAATGGTTTTCCAGCAATAGAAATCTCAGGAACTTTTTTGGGCTTGCTCATCATTATTTCTCCAAGGATTAAGTGCTTCTCTGATTGCTTGAGCCTCTGGGGAGCTCTCCCAAGCTCGTTTCTCTGACTCCAGAACTGTCACTTTATCATCTACAGCTCAGTAAAACCAAAGGTTAAGTGAAGAATTACCAAGAAGTAGGATAACGAGAATACCAAATAGCATGTACATGAGAAAGTTCCCAGTCCAAATTTCTTGCAGAATAGACGTATACTTCAAAGTTCAAACTACTTTCAGGGTCATTGAGGGGAGTTGACTGAAATCAACCGGTGGTACACAACACGTCAAAAACTAATCACCACCAACTCGTCCTTAAGCTTCCACTCAAACTAGGTTTAACAGTGTTTGCTTTCAGAAACTAAAGAAGTTCCACATTCATTAGATTCAACATGTTAAATATCCAACAACCAAGATAACTCCCAGCCAAAATCAGAAAATCTAAAGAGCAAAAATCTTTACCATTTCTCCTCCATTGTAAGATTCATACAACATCAAAAGTGTCCCAGAAAAGAAAAAGGCTATATAGCATATTTGTGGGAGTTGTGGTGTCAAAGCTGCGACACAGTGGCAGCAAATGAAAACAAGTGAGAGCTGCAACAACAGCACAATAACAGCTAGGTGACAACCACATGGAGTTGCACAAATTAGTCAATCTGTTAGGTAGAAAAATTTATTGTATTAGGTAGAAATTAGTGTTCATGTATTATGAGATTTCTGCTATATGATGGCAGAAGATAAATGAAAGAAGTTGAGTTTTCACCTCACCAAAAAGAAAACTCCGGGTGTCTCTCCTTCTCCTCTAAGTTCTCTCTCCCCCCCTTTCTACCACCAAAAATTCAACAATATTACCTTTTAACGATTACCCTTGTTGGCAAATTGAATCATAAACTTAAACAAAATGGTAAATTGGAAGTGAAGAGAGGAAAGCAAAATGGAGGGTTCTCACACAGAAGCCGGTTTTGATCATGAACAACTCCATGGAAGCTCCGACGAGAGCAGAGTCGAAAGCAATCTTCAAGTACCAATCTAGGAACTTTGTCATCGTCTTAATTTCACTGCATAAAGCAACCCATTACTCAGATAACGAAAATTCATAAATCAAATTCCTCTGGAGTATTAAATCAGCAAGAAACTTGCACCCTACTAGACCTCAGTATGAAGACTTACACAACTGTGGAGATAGTGGAGATAGAGGAACCCAGAAACGGTAGTTCAGGGAAAGAAGACGAGTTTTCCGCCACTTTCCTCCCTTTACTTTCTTTTATTTCAATTTAGTCCCCCAAAAGTTTTAATTTTACAAGTCTCCGCCAATCCTCTCACTCCGTTTTATTTTTATTTTTTACAGAAAGTTAGTTACTTATTAAAAATTTTAAATTAATACATATCAATTTACTTAAATTTTTATTAATAATAAATAATTAAAAAAATATTAATTGATAAATACAAAGTTAATTAAGTTATTTTTTATTATAAAAGTTAAATAAAATCTCATTAAAAAATTTTTAATATTTATTTTTTATTTATAAAACATAAACTCAAATTTTTATTTAAAAAAAAAACAAAATTTTATCCGAATTAACAGTTTTTTTCTTTTTTTGTGTTAAGTTGTTTAAACGAGAAACTTCCACACTCCGTTCTACTTAACCCGCAACAAAAGCCTATTCCTTTGGACCAGGGATGGAGTTCTTGAGATTGAGAATGAACAATCGGCGGCGTATCCGTTTCCGTACTCGGCTGTTGGTGATTTACCTTGGACCTATTCACATAAAAAAAGGGGTTGTACAGGATAATTTTTTAATATTA